GCTGCCTGACCTGCTGCGTTCCTCCAGCTCTACACTGTGTTATCTCTGTCATTCCACCAGCTTGTGTTTAGCTTCGTTGGGACACATTAGTGGGTTCAGGGTGGAAACATTAGCAGAGGGACAAGATGGTGCACTGAAATGGCAAAACAAAAGTGGCAGGTCATTGTTACAGCTAGGGCGGAGGCATTGCATAGTCTGCAGTTAGTCTTGCTGTTGTTAAGAGAAGATTCTTAGATTGCGAGCAGGACCTCGATGGACCAAATCGAAAGAAGTACCTGTAAAGGTCCCAAATGCCATTTCGCCCCGAACGTGCATTTGAAACCAGTGACTGAGCGAGTGAGTGTTTTGTGTGTGTGTGTTAGCGTGGTGGGGGGGGGGGGGCAGCGCAAGTCAGCAGAGCAAGGGCCAAACCTTGCACTGTCACGTAGAAAATTGCCATGAGCGTCCACAGGAGTGGGGGAATAGGATGATGAGGAAAAATGAGAAATGACAGAAGAGTGGACTGGGACACTGTGGAAGGATCGCTCCTCGCTACATGTAGCCATGTCCCTGAGTTGCAGTTCTCTGCAGTCTTCCTCCATTTAAATGATACGCTGTCTTTATGTTCCTCCTTCAAAATTAAACAACTTCACATTTTCCCACATTATACTCTAGATGGGAAGGGATTATAGGCTTTGAACATGGAACTGTACAGCACAGGAACAGGTCCTTCGGCCCACAACCTTGGGCCAAACATGACATCAAACTAATTCCTTCTACCTGCCCTTGGTCCATATCCCTCCATTCCTTGCTTATTCATGTGCTTATCTAAAAGCACCTTAAATACCCCTATCGTATTTGCCTCCACCACCACCTGGCACCATGTTCCAGGTGCCTACCACTGTAAAAAACTTGCCTCTCACATCTCCTTTGAACTTTCCCCTTCGCACCTTAAATACATGCCCCCTAGTGTTAGACATTTCAGCTCTGGGAAAAGATTTTGACATGAATCCTATCTATGCATCTCATAATTTTAAACACTTCTATCAAGTCTATAATCCTCAGCCTCTGCCACTCCAGAGAAAACAATCCAAGTTTTTCTAGCCTCTCCTTAAAACTCATACCCTCTAATCCAGGCAGCATCCTCGTAAAAAACAAAAACAAAAACAAAAACAAAAACAAAGTTGCTGGAAAAGCTCAGCAGGTCTGGCAGCATCTGTGAAGGAGAAAACAGAGTTAACGTTTCAGGTCCGGTGACCCTTCCTCAGAACTGATAATGGCTGGGAAAACGTCAGTTTATATGCAGAAAATAGGGAGGTGGATGGGGTAGGGAGTAAACGATAAGATAGAGCCCGAAGACACAGAAAGACAGTTGGACAGACAAAGGAGTTGCTAACGATCAGGCTGGGAGGGTGAGTAGTTGTTATTGGGGACTATTAGTGACTAACAACAGGGGGTGTGTAATGGCAGGCTATATGGTAACAAAGCCTGGTGTGTGGGGTGGGGGGCTGGGACATGGGAGAGTTTAGGCCCTAAAATTATTGAACTCCATATGGAGTCCGGAGGGCTGTAGGGTCCCCAGGCAAAAAATGAGGTGTTGTTCCTCCAGCTTCCGTTGGGCTTCACTGGAACACTACAGAAATGTCTAGGCCTTCTTCAGAAATGTTTAGGACCGAAACGTCAGCTTTCTTGCTCCTCTGATGCTGCTTGGCATGCTGTGTTCATCCAGCTCTACACCTTGTTATCTCAGATTCTCCAGCATCTGCAGTTCCTACTATCTCAGAGACAGAGATGTTGGCCAGGGAGCAGGGTGGTGCATTGAAGTGGCAGGCCAACAGGTAGTTCAGGGTCTTTTTTGCGAGTAGACCGTCCTACCCATCCAAACCGACCGGCTATCCTAAATTAATCTTGTCCTATTTACCAGCATTTGGCCCATATGCGGCCGCACTTGGAGTATTGCGTGCAGTTCTGGTCACTGTAACATGTCACTGTTATACTATATTTACAGCATAAATCACTCAAATAATGATGCACCTTGCCTTAAATATCAGCAGAGAATCTTCTCATTCATGACTTGGAGTATTGTGTACAGTTCTGGTCACCGCATTATAGGAAGGATGTGGAAGCGTTGGAAAGGGTGCAGAGGAGATTTACCAGGATGTTGCCTGGTATGGAGGGAAGGTCTTATGAGGAAAGGCTGAGGGACTTGAGGCTGTTTTTGTTAGAGAGAAGAAGGTTAAGAGGTGACTTAATAGAGACATACAAGATGATCAGAGGATTAGATAGGGTGGACAGTGGGAGCCTTTTTCCTCGGATGGTGATGGGTAGCACGAGGGGACATAGCTTTAAATTGAGGGGTGATAGATATAGGACAGATGTCAGAGGTAGGTTCTTTACTCAGAGAGTAGTAAGGGCGTGGAATGCCCTGCTTGCAACAGTAGTAGACTCGCCAACTTTAAGGGCATTTAAATGGTCATTGGATAAACATATGGATGATAATGGAATAGTTTAGGTTAGATGGGCTTCAGATTGGTTTCACAGGTCGGCGCAACATCGAGGGCCGAAGGGCCTGTACTGCGCTGTAATGTTCTATATCCCACTTAAACCCTTCCTTATTCGTGTACCCATCCGGATGTCTTTTAAAATTGCCTCCACCACTTGCTCTGGCAGATCATTCCAAACACACACCACCCTCTGTGTGGAAAGTTACCCCTTCCCCCTCCCACCTTAAACCTGTGCCCCCCCTAGTTTTGGACTCCCCCACCCCCGGGGGAAAAAGACCTCATCTGTTCACCCCATCCGTGCCCCTCATGATTTTCTAAACCTCTACCAGGTCACCCCCTCAGCCTCTGACACCCCTCAGTGGAAAATAGCCCCAGCCTCTCCCTGTAGATCAAACACTCCAACCCAATCTTCATAAACGCTTTCAGATCTTCCCCCCCCCTGCCCAAACAGTAAACTTTCTCTGCTCCAAAACAACCCCAGTTTGTCTCTGCAGAGCTGAAATATTTCATTCCCAGGCAACACATAATAATATAATATATAATATATTATAATAGGTCGGCACAACATCGTGGGCCGAAGGGCCTGTACTGTTCTATGTTCTTTAACATCCTGATGAATCTCCTTTATCCCCAACTCCTCCTCCTCCTCCTCTCTCCCACTGTTTTATTTTAAATTTAGTTTCTTATGGATATTTCTCCCTGCAGGTTAAAAAAATAAAAATGTTGATGCTGACGGAATATTCTCCACGTTTTGACGCTGTGGGTCTAAATCCTGAGGTAAACCCAGCGGCATTATGTCCCCTGCCCCGAGGTGGTGGAGAGGGTTAAACGAGAGGGAAAGGAGGTGGAGGCCTAGCGCCGAGCCTCGGCCTCGATTTCCTCACCCGAGCCATTGGGACCGATGATAGCCGTGAACTTCTTGAAGGGCCCGATGATCTGTCGGCCTTTGTACGACTTGAAGTTCTCGATCTCGATGAGCCGCAGGAAGCCCATGGCGGCGGCGGCGACAACGACCAACAACAACAACCGCCACTGCCCAAAATAATAATCGAGGCTTTCAGCGAAGGGGCCTCCCGCCTCTTGGAGGGAAATGGCGCTCGGCACGACCTCCTGGGATTTGTAGTTTCCTCCCTCGTCAGGACCTTGGAAGCCAATGAGCGGGTGGACTACAACGCCCAGAGTGCCGTCCGAACACAGGCGCATGCGCTAGGCGAGCCTTGGAACGAGAACTACATTTCCCGAAGGACCTTGCGCCGCGCATGCCTTGTCCTGTAACCACGTAGCCCGCCCTCCCGATCCTCGCACTCTATTGGCCGCATGGGTGAAGGGATTCGCCTTCCGATTGGTAGAGGGGTATGTCAAGCATTCACATGGGGCGGATGGAATGTTCCATCCGATGCTGCTGGGAAGGGGGGGGGGAGTCAAACAAATCCAAAGTTTCAACTCGGCTATCCTGGTTAGAGGGTGGCTGTACCGCACTGACATTTACTGGGATTTAAAGTGCTGACAGGCGGTTGCAATTCTCTAGCGCGGTGAGAAGTGGTGGAAGCGTCTCTTTGTGAAGAATGGGTTGGTAGGTTCACCCCCCCATCTCGCAATGTTCGCTGTTGCTATGGCGACCCAAAGCGTCCCCCCTCTCCATTGTTTGCTACAGTGGCCAAGTTAGCAACAATTTCTTTGGTGTTTGGGGAGAGCAGTCTTTCTGGGTGTCTTCGTGAATGAATGGTGGCTGGCCACCAACCCAGGGGAAAGCAAAGACTCAAACACTGCCAAAGTCCAAAGCCCACTGAAGATAAATAAAATTTCTACAGATTAATCTGTTTAATATTGTGTGAACAGAGCCAAGGCAACATGTACAAGTTGGACCTGCCCCTTGACCCCAAGGAGATTGCATCCATCGAGCGGAGGAGAAACGCAGAGGCCCAGCGCCAGAGCCGCATTTTCAATGCCAGGCAGAGGACCATCGGGGTGAGCGACCCTACATGTTGGTGTGAGGGGCTGTTTGGCAGATGCCCGCGGGATCAGGGAGTGGTCTCCCACTTATCCCTTCCTGCCCTTTCCTTTAGGCTGGGGGTAGGGTCTGTCAGCTCGTTTTGGCTGATTTGTGATGCCAACATCATGGTTTCAATTCCCACGCTGGCTGAAGTTACCATGAAGGAGCTCTCCTCCGTGACCTCTTCATCTCACCTGAGGTCTGGTGACCCTCAGGTTAAACCACCACGAATCGTTTCACTGTCTCTAATCAGAGGGCATGCCAATGGTCCAGTACAACTGTGGCGACTTTACCACTGGTCTGAAACTTGCCTTCAACCCTTAAGAAGTGAGCAATTTATTGCCTTTAATCGTCAGGGCATTGAGTACAAGAGTCAAGTTGACATATTGCACCTTAAGAAGACTTTGGTTAGGCCATACTTAGAATATTGTGTTCAATTCAGTTGCCACATTATAGGAAGGATGTGGAGGCTTTGGAGAGGGTGCAGAAGAGGTTTACCAGGATGCTGCCTGGATTAGAGGGTATGAGCTATAAGGAGAGGTTAGTAAAACTCGGGTTGTTTTCACTGGAGTGGGGGAGGCTGAGGGGAGACTTGACAGAAGTCTATAAAGTATGAGATGCATAGATAGGGTTCACAATCAGAATCTGTTTTCCAGAGATTAAATGTCTAAATCCAGAGAGCATGCATTTAAGGTTAGAGGCAGAAAGTTCAAAGGAGATGTGAAGGGCAAGTTTTTTTACACAAAGTGGTAGGAGTCTGGAACGCGCTGCCAGGGGTGGTGGTAGAGGCAGATATGATAGGGGCATTTAAGGGACTTTTAGATAAGCACATGAATGTGCAAAGAATGAAAGGATGTGGCTCAAGGGCAGGCAGAAAGGATTAGTTCAGTTTGGCATCATGTTTGGCACAACATTGTGGGCCTAAGGGCCCGTTCCTGTTCTGTCCCGTTCTATTCTGTTGTAACTGGAGAGGAAAAACGTTAATTGGTAGCATAGTGGTAACATCTCTGGATGTGTAATCCAGCAGACCCGGACTGTGGCAGTTCATGGAATTTAAATTGAATAAAATCTCTAAGATTGTGAGCAGTCACAAACACACGCACCATCCCAACTGTGAACAATAACGGGCCGTTCCTTCAATGTCGCCGGGGTCAGAATCCTGGAACTCCCTCCCTAACTGGGCACTGTGCGGGGTGACCCTACACCACACAGGGACTGCAACAGCTCAAGAAGGCAACTCACCCTCACCTTCTCAAAAGGCAACTAAGATGGATAATGCTGGTCAGCAACACCCTTACTCCATGAATGAATACAAATAACTCCAAAACTACAGAATACTATTTTCTTTGGGATTCTGAAGTTACGAAGGAGGGTCACTTGACTCGAAACATTAACTCTGATTCCTCTCCACACGTGCTGAGCTTTTCCGGCAATTTCTGTTTTTGTTTTTGGTTTCCAGTGTCTGCAGGTCTTTCGGTTTTATGTGTAATTTTTTAAGATCCAATACACAAACGTTTTCCATATTTACTAACGATTATTTTATGTTGTCCTGCATTGTGGTCCGACTGCATACAAATCGACTTGCAAACAGGGGCTGCCTGTCTTGTGAAAGCGGGGATTATTTGATGGGGCCATTCATAGGGTAGGGGGCCTGTTAGATAAAGGAATGGAGGGACCCATTGGAGAGGCTGAAGTAATATTGGGATGGAGGGAGTCCATGTGGAGCTAAAGTAGTGGCATGGGGCAGGCGGGCCGAATGGTCAGCCTCAGCCCTGCTAGTTCTTCCGCTTTCACTGCTACAATTTTCTCTTTTGCTTCACTGTCAAGGTGGACACCCCGTTTCTGGATCAGCAAGTACTGGATAAGATGGCAAGAGAGGACAGGGAACGTCTGCGGGACAAAGCTTTTGGTAATTCCTCCGATCCGCTGCTCTGCCCCAATACTCACGCGAGACCCTATCACAGCATTAAGCAGCAAGTCAATCCGAGAGGGAGCCAAGCCCAAACAGGGATATCGGAGCAAGGGAGTGCACTCCAAACAGTCTGATACATCAGCGTGTTTGCAGGACAGTGCAGAGGGAGCTTTACTGTGTATCTAACCCTGTGCTGCCCCTGTCCTGGGTGTGTTTGATTCAGACAGTGTAGAGGGTCATTTCCTTTTTGTTTAAGAGTATAGAGGCAGCTTTACTCATTCAGCTCTGAGGGAATGCCGCACTGACGGAGGGCTAGCGCTGAGGGAGCGCCGCACTGTCGGAGGGTCAGTGCTGAGGGAGCATCGCACTGTCAGACAGTCAGTGCTGAGGGAGCGCCGCACTGTCGGAGGGTGAGTGCTGAGGGAGCGCCGCACTGTTGGAGGGTCAGTGCTGAGGGAGCACCGCACTGTCGGAGGGTCAGTGCTGAGGGAGTAGGCACTGTCGGAGGGTCGGTGCTGAGGGAGCGCTGCACTGTCAGAGGGTCAGTGCTGAGGGAGCAGGCACTCTACGTTATTTAAGAGTGACCTTTGGCAAGACTTCCTGACACAGACTGAATGAGTAATCAATGCTGAACTGTGTGTGTGTGTATATCTTATTTGCCACCCACCCCCTGAGCAGATGCAGACAGCCTCCGCTATGACAAGACCGCCCAGCTCCTTGAGACACAGGAACAGGACAGAGTCCGCCAGCTGAACCGGGAGGTGGAAGAATTCTGGACCCGGTACCAGAGGCCAGAGGACCAGCGGGAGTTCGACCTGTGGGACCCACAGCTGCTGAAGAAGGACAAGCCGGCCCGGGTCAGTGATGATGACCCCCGCTGCGGACCCTCCAGCTTGCAGAAGTTTGAGGGTGAGGACCTAAACGAGAGGGCGCGCAAGAAGCTGCAGCAGCAGGAGGCACGCAAGTGGCTGACAGCACAGAAACTGGAGAGGCAGAGGCAGGAGCGTGACCAGAAGTTCGCAGGTAATCACACTCTCCATCCCCGAAAACCTCCCCTCGATCTGCAAACTGATCCTCGTTCCCCTACTCGACTGCTCCCTTCTGAAAACTCCCCCTCAGCCCCCAAACTGATCCCCATTCCCCTACTCGACGGCTCCCTTCTGAAAACATCGCTTCAGCCCCCAAACCGATCCCCATTCCCCTGCCCGACTGCTCCCTTCCAAAAACTCCCCCTCAGCCCCCAAACAGATCCCCATTCCCTGGCTTGACTGCTCTCTCTCCCCCCTCACTTTCCTCTCCACAGATGACCTGTACCACAAGAAGGAGATGGAGCTCGACCAGAGAGCCACCGATCTCGCCCAGATGGAGGAAGATGCGCGCAGAGCCCTCGCCACTGCCACCCTCAACTACAACATGGCTTTGGTAGGGGCAGCCCCAACCTCCCCAGGGGTGGGAGAGTATGTTTGGAGGGGGGGGGGCGGGGGTTGGTTTGCGGATGTCATACAGTTTTGTCGTCAGTAGCTATTCACGAAACATCAGAAACCATTCCCTGAAGGGTCAACGTCAAGGAGAGGGGAAAAAATTGGGCATTTTAAGGTGATAGATCATATGCTCAGAGGTGGTTTGAGAAGGGGCATTTTCACCCCAAGGGTGGTGGGGGCAAGTCTGGAATGCACTGCCCAGGGATGGGGAGTCGAGGTGGGGAAACGTCACCACCCCCACCCTATAAGAAAGGACTGGGACAAGTGCTCAAAATGTGAGAACATTCGAGGTGAAAGGGCCTAGTACAGGAAAATGGGACATCACGTGGGTAGTCATCCATTTCAGGGCAGGGCGGACTTGATGGGCCAAAGGTCCTCATCTGCTCTGTGCGAATTTATGATCACACCAGCCCAGCAACTAATTCTGAAGGGCTAGTGGCATGTTACGAGGGGATGGGAATACAGGAGTGATGAAGTCTGGCTACAAGGACTTGGCAAGGCCACACCTGGAGTATGCTGTGGTTTCAGACCTCTCATTTTTGGAGGAAGGTACTTGGGTTGCAGGCTGTATAGCTGAGGGTCTCTCATGGCCTTTTCCCCCCAACAATTGACAATGGTTTCACAGTCAGTAGATTCTTAATTCAAGTTCCACCATCTGTGATGGTGGGAGTTGAACCTAGGTCTCTCCAGAACATTAGCAGAGTTTCTGGATCAATAGTTTAGCGATAATACCACTAGGCCATCACCTCCTCTTAGTCTTGCAACCACCTCTGATATCCAAAAGCTTCCTTGTGCAGGCATTGTATCAAAGGTCACAGAGACTTCCACCGTACCCTTGTCAAGTGTGCCTTTAAAGGCTGCGAGAAGCTGAAGAGGGAGTTATTAGTGGCTGCATGGGTTATAATTTTGGTGTCATCTGCAAACTTACTAACCATACCTCCTATATTCACATCCAAATCATTTATATAAATGACAAAAAAAAAAGTGGACCCAGCACAAAGTCCTGGGGAGTTTGCCGAACAAAGAGACTTCGGAGTGCAGATGCATAGTTCCTTTTAAAATAGAGTTGCAGGTAGACAGGGCGGTGAAGGCGGTGTTTGGTACGCTTGCCTTTATTGGTCAGTGTGTTGAGTACAGGAGTTGGGTGGTCATGTTGCAGCTGTACACAACATTGGTTAGGCCACTTTTGGAATACTGCATCAAATTCTGGTCTCCCTGCTACAGGAAGGATGTTGTGAAATTTGAAAGGGTTTAGAAAAGACTTACAAGGATGTTGCCAGGGTTGGAGGTTTTGAGGTATAGGTAGAGGTTAAATAGGCTGGGGCTATTTTCCCTGGAGCATCAGAGGCTGCGTGACCTTTATAAAAGTTTATTTTAAAAAATCATGAGGTACATGGAAAGGGTGAATAGTCAAGATCCTTTCCCCAAGGCAGGGGAGTCCAAAACTAGAGGGTATACGTTTAAGGTGAGAAGGGAAAGATTTAAAAAGGAACCTAAGGGGCAACTTTTTCACACAGAGGGTGGTGTGAGCTGCCTGAGGAAGTGGTGAAGACAAGTAACAATGACAACATTTAAAAGGCATCTGGATGGATACATGAATAGGCAGGGTTCAGAGGGATATGGGCCAAATGGGACTAGATTAATTTAGGACATCTGGTCAGCATGGACGGGTTGGACCGAAGGGTCTGTTTCCGTGCTGTACAGCTCTATGACTCTAGTGGGTGGAGGGTGACCATTCTGGCAACAACAGCAGTAAGACAACACGTTTCTTGAAATGCAGAGGGATCTGGGTGACCCAGTCCATGAATCACGAAGCATTCATACACAGAAGCAGTGAGAGGAGGAAGATAAAGGGACTGCTGGCCTTTGTTACAAAGCAGCTGGAGCATAGATGTCAGGGTAACTTACTCCATCCGTTACAGGATGTAGGAGAGACCCCGCCGGGAGCACTGTGTACAGTTCTGCTCCTCTCACTGAACGAGGGATAGACTGACACTGGAGGCAGTTCAGAGAAGGTTCCTTCAGCTGGTTCCTGAGGTGGAAGGGGTCTGTCTCCCAAGGAGAGGGTGAACAGGTTGGACCAGTCCCCGTCAGAGTTTGGAAGAACAAGAGGGTGATGGCATTGAGACATATACGATTAAAAGGAAAAGTTGACATCATCCCAGATGACAGACAGCGGGTTTAACCAGAGGGTCAGCAGGCCTCAGGTGAGGGGGCAAGATTGAGAATGTGAGGCCTTCAGCCGGAGCAGGAATTGAACCCATGCTCAGCATTGCAAACTGGCCATCCAGCCAACTGAACTAACCAACCCCTAGCATACATACAATAGTGTGGGGAAGGGTCTTTACAGGGTGGGTGCTGTGAGGAGGTTTCCCCTCTTGTGGGGGAATCTAGAATAAGAGGGTAAGGTTTCTGAATAAGTGGCTGAGTGGCCGCCTCCTGTTCCTGTATAACAGGGTCGGTCGGGGGGAGATGAATGGCCTCCTGTTCCTGTATAACAGGGTCGGTCGGGGGGAGATGAATGGCCTCCTGTTCCTGTATAACAGGGTCGGTCGGGGGGAGATGAATGGCCTCCTGTTCCTGTATAACAGGGTCGGTCGGGGGGAGATGAATGGCCTCCTGTTCCT